ACTCTGGTCTCCAATCAGCTCTATGGTCAGCTGGCAGAAACACCGGCTGCATTCTCAGGATCCCCCGATGGCACGAGACTGCCCGAGAAGGCCGTGGAAGGCAGCGGGGGAGGGGGGCATTATCTCCTTTTTGCTATAAAACATGTCCAGTAAAAAAATTTAAAAATCAAATTTCGTCATAAATTTCAGCCAAAATGCATTCTGCGGCATGTCTCTGCTAAAAAAAAACACAATATGTGTAAATTAATTGGTTTACGTGAAAGTTCTAGCATTTACAAATGGCGGGAAAGATACTGGATTTTTAATTTTTTTAATACTAATAATGGCGGCAATCAGTGACTTATGGCGGCGATCAGTGACTTATGGCAGGACTGGGGGACATTCTGACACTGGGGGGGAACTGACTTGGGGTCACTGACATCCCCAGTGACACCAATACAGTGATCAATGCAAAAAAAAACCTGACACTGTACTAATGGCACTGGGGAGGAAGGGGTTAACTTTTTTATTCACTGAAAGGGTTAACTGTGTGAAGGGAGTGTTTTACCAGGGGGCGGGGGTGTGTACTGCACAGGAACACACTGATCCAGGGAAATAAACTCTTCAGCATGTCAGGAGCTGACAGGGAACTGACAGAAAGCAGAGGTGCAGTGTAAACACTGCAGCCGGGCTCTCTGTCAGTGATTGCCGCTAATCACCGGGTAATGACCGGCCGTGACCTGGCGACTGACACCCGCGGCCCCTATCGGCGGCGCAGGTAGGGCGGAGGTGTCCCCTACCTGTTTTGAAAAAGCACGTTTTAAAACGTGGTTTTGCCCAGCCGTGCCAACCTGCCACCATATTTCTACAGTGGCTGGTCGGCAAGAAGTTATAGCATCAAGTCAATTAAACTCCTGGGATATTGATCTGCTCAGTTAAGTAGCAGAGGGGGTTGTTAATCAGTTTCAATTGCTTTGGTATTAATGAAATTAACAACAGGTGCACTAGATGGGCAACAATGAGATGACCCCCAAAACAGGAATGGTTTTACAGGCGGCCACGGAAATGTTTTCCCCTACTCATCTCTTTTGACTGTTTTTCACTAGTTTTGCATTTGGCTAGGGTCATTGTCACTACTGTTAGCATGAGGCAATACCTTAACCCTACAGAGGTTGCACAGGCAGTCCAACTCCTCCAGGATGGCAAATCAATATGTGCCATTAGCAGAAGTTTTGCTGTGTCTCCCAGCACAATCTCAAGAACATGGAGGAGATTCCAGGAGTCAGACAGTTACTCTAGGAGAGCTGGACAGGGCTGTAGAAGGTCCTTAACCCATCAGCAGAACCAGTATCTGCTCTTTTGTGCAAGGATGAGCACTGCCAGAGCCCTACAAAATGACCTCCAGCAGGCCGCTGGTGTGAACGTCTCTGATCAAATAATCAGAAACAGACTTCATGAGGGTGGCCAGAGTGCCCGATGCCTAATGGACCCTGTGCTCACTGTCTGGAACCATAGAGCTGGATTGGCATTTTCCATTGACCACCAGAATTGGCAGGTCCACCACTGGCACACTGTGCTTTTCACAAATGAGAGCAGGTTCACCCTGAGCACATGTGGCAGACGTGAAAGGGTCTGGAGAATCTGTGGAGAACATTATGCTGCTTGTAACATCATTCATCATGACCATTTTTGGTGGTGGATCAGTAATGGCCTGAGGAGGCATATCCATGGAGGGATGCATAGACCTCTAGAAAATGGCACCCTGACTGCCATTAGGTATCGGGATGAAATCCTTGGACCCATTGTCAGACCCTACACTGGTGCAGTGGGTCCTGGGTTCCTCCTGGTGCACGGCAATGTCCAGCCTCATGTGGCAAGAATATGCAGGCAGTTCCTGTAGGATGAAGGAATTGATACCATTGAATGGCCCCCACGCTCACCTGACCTAAATACAATAGAACACCTCTGGGATATCATCATGTTTCGGTCCATCCAGCACCACCAGGTGGCACCTCAGACTGTCCAGGAGCTCATTGATGCCCTGGTCCAGATCTAGGAGGAAATACCCCAGGACACCATCCATCGTCTCATTAGGAACATGTCCCGATGTTGTCAGGCATGCATACAAGCACATGGGGGCCATCCACACTACTGAGTACCATTTTGAGTTGTTGCAATGAAATTCCAGCAAAATGGACTAGCCTGCTGCATCAATTTTTCACTTTGATTTTTGAGGTGTCTTTGAATTCATTCCTCTGTAGGTTGATAATTTTCATTTCCATCAAACGATGGGGCATCCTTACGTTCCTAGCACATTACCCAGTCCATATCAGTATACTGTAAATATCCAGCATGATATTTTTTTGAGATATATATATATATATATATATATATATATATATATATTTTTTAGCTATATATATATATATATATATATATAACAAACTCACCAAAGTAACTGAAAGATAATTATTCACAAATGATTTTACATTTGTCTATGGTCTAGGTTTATTTAGAAACCAATACCAATACGAATACCTACCTTGTCATACATTCTGTTTAATAATCTTGGAACCACTGGGAAGATTGTTGGCCGCAAAGTCATCAGATAGAAGACGAATGTCACCTTGAAAGAACCCAATGCAACCACCATGGCAGTATACCACAGACTAAAAAAAGGCGAGAAAAAGAACATGTTGAATTTGAATATTCAAAAACTATTTAGCTAAAGTTTAGTAAATACAGTTAAAATGTGCAGTCACAAAGTTTTTAGAAAATGCCTAGATTTAACTTGTACTGGTTTACGCATCACAACACCTTGGGAGAGAGAACCTACATTGCAGCTGTAGATTACAGTTGGGTCATTGTGAAAATTGTACTACATGTTATTGGGTTTTGTTCTTTTTAAAATGAAACAGTTCTCTTCCATAGATAATGCCTCTACTGTGCAGCATGTGTAAGTAAAAGTACATGAGAAGCCTCATATTAGGCTCAGTAAATAGTTTCTGCAGTCTACATCTAGATTTACATCTGCATCAGCTGTCTTTTTCCCTCTTTATTAAAACCTCTAAACCAGTTAACAGCCAGAACCGTCTGACTAGTAGGATACCAATGTGTGGCTTGATAGTTGTAGAGTTGTAAGTGATGTAGCACATACAGTATCTCACAGAAGTGAGTACACCTGTCACTTTTTTGTAAATATTATATCTTTTCATGTGACAACACTGAAGAAATGACACTTTACTACAATGTAAAGTAGTGAGTGTACAGCTTGTATAACAGTGTAAATTTGCTGTCTCTTCAAAATAACTCAACACACAGCCATTAATGTCTAAACTGCTGGCAACAAAAGTGAAAATGTCCAAATTGGGCCTAGTTAGCCATTTTCCCTCCCCAGTGTGATGTGACTCGTTAGCGTTACAAGGTCTCAGGTGTGAATGGGGAGCAGGTGTGTTAAATTTGGTATTGCTCTCATTCTCTCATACTAGTCACTGGAGGTTCAACATGGCATCTCATGGTAAAGAACTCTGAGGATCTGAAAAAAAGAATTGTTTCTCTACATAAAGATGGCCTAGGCTATAAGATTGCCAAGACCCTGAAACTGAGCTGCAGCATGGTGGGCAAGACCATACAGCGGTTTAACAGGACAGGTTCCTCTCAGAACAGGCCTCACCATGGTCGACCAAAGAGGTTGAGTGCCTGTGCTCAAAGTCATATCCAGAGGTTGTCTTTGGGAAATAGACGTATGAGTGCTGCCAGCATTGCAGCAGAGGTTAAAGGGGTGGGGGGTCAGCCAGTCAGTTCTCAGACCATACGCTGCACACTGTATCAAATTGGTCTGCATGGCTGTCGTCCCAGAAGGAAGCCTCTTCTAAAGATGATGCACAAGAAAGCCCACACACAGTTTGCTGAAGACAAGAAGACTAAGGACATGGATTACTGGAACCATGTTCTGTGGTCTGATGAGACCAAGATAAACTTATTTGGTTCAGATGGTGTCAAGCATGTGTGGCGGAAACCAGGTGAGGAGTACAAAGACAAGTTTGTCTTGCCTACAGTCAAGCATGGTGGTGGGAGTGTCATGGTCTGGGGCTGCATGAGTGCTGCTGGCACTGGGCAGCTACAGTTCATTGAGGGAGCCATGAATGCCAACATGTACTGTGACATACTGAAGCAGAGCATGATCCCTCCCTTTGGAGACTGGGCAGTATTCCAAGATGATAACGACCTCAAACACACCTCCAAGACGACCTCTGCCTTGCTAAAGAAGCTGAGGGTAAAGGTGATGGTCTAGCCAAGCATGTCTCCAGACCTAAACCCTACTGAGCATCTGTGGAGCATCCTCAAACAGAAGGTGGAGCGCAAGGTCTCTAACATCCAACAGCACCATGATGTCATCATGGAGGAGTGAAAGAGGACTCCCGTGGATGATCATCCGTTTACATTAGTTTTTCCATAGATGCATTGATGTCCATTTTTCATCTATCAATGGATGAAAAATGAATGAAAAACAGACAAACGGAACGACCATGTGAAAGGGACCTTAGGATTTACTGTGAATCCATGGTAGCAGCAAACCCAAACCTCATCCTTGACCGGAATCCTGCCAGTAGCTAATAACTAAGCATTCTTCTGCCAACTAAAACATGAATGATTGTGAAATTCTACCAATAGACTATGAGTAAATGAGTATTTTGTAGTAAATTAAAGTATATAACTCCATCAGATCAGTAAAAGGCCAAATGTTATTTCATACAGTATGTGGCTAACAAAGAATGATGTGTCCGATGTGAAAGTATTATGCATCATCCAGGGAGCATCTTCGCTCTCTTCCTCACGTATTAAGCTAGTAATTGTAGACATGCTGCAATGCATAATATAATGTAAATTCAATCTCTCCAAATCGCACTGTACAGGTGATGTACTGCTTTCCCGCCACCCTATAGCAGAAATACTGTTACAGGGCGGCAGAGGTGCGCAAAATCATGAATATATACTTGATTTTGCATTTCAGGGTAGGGGGCCTCGGCTGTCAATCACCGGGTTCTGGCCGTGATTCCCCACCGGCACCCGGTGATCACAGTGTACCACGGATGGGGAGAGACCTGTATGTAAACAATACAGATCTCTCCCCTGTCAGCTCCTGCACACTGCTCTGTATGGCTCTGCATAGCAGAGCCATACAAAGCAGTGTGCTTACAGTGTAAAGCACACACACAGCACACAGTGAAACAGCACACAGTTAACCCATTGATTTCCCCAGATGTTAACCCCTTCCTGCCCAGTGTCATTAGTACAGCGTCATTGCTTTTTATTAGCAGTGATCACTGTATTGGTGTTACTGGGGATGTCAGTGACAGTTAACCAGTTCCTCTTCCCAGTGTCAGAATGCCCACTGCAGCCCCGCAGTCCCACTATAAGTCACTAATCGCTGCCATTACTAGTATAAAATATATATTTTTTAAACCTCCAGTATATATACCACCATTTGTAGACACTATAATTTTTCACGTAAACCAATTAATTTACATGTATTGCGATTTTTTTTTTTTTTTTAGCAAAGACATGTAGCAGAATACATTTTGGCCTAAATTTAGGCCAAAATCTGATTTTTTTTTTTCCATTTTTTTTACTGGACATGTTTAATAGCAAAAAGTCGAAAATATTGTTTTGTTTTCAAAACTGGCATTTTTTTTTTTATATGGCAAAAAAATAAAAACCACAGAGGTGATCAAATACCACCGAAAGTGGTGAGGGTAAAAAAGGACATACATTTCATTTGGGTGCAGCGTTGCATGACCGCACAATTGTCACTTAAAGTAACGCAGCGCCGTATCGCAAAAAATGGCCTGGTTAGGAAAAGGGGTATATCCTCTGGATGCAATATACCCTTTTTAACTACTGTTTGAGCCTATCAGTATCACATCTAAGGCTGTGGATGCCCACATGACACAAGGTTATGGCAGTCAGACATCACACCTGGGTGAATTGGTGTAGATGCTTTATAATATATGCTGGTTAAACAGGATCCATTCATACATTAATTCATACATATACGTACCTCTGTAAACCATGTATGATAGCTTAGAGCTGGTTCAAACATTTTAGACTTTCCAGTTTATGCCCAATTCATATACTTGGCAGAAGAGTGGATATGCCTACCTCAATAATCATTTCATATGGTCCCCATTCATTCCTACCCCTTGATCTAAGAACTGATTAATGTACAGCTTTGCAAAGAGCAATCTGGGGATCTACACTAATCTACAAACAGCTCTCCACTTTCATTTTGTACACTGACAAATCTTATCAAAGACCAACATTATCAGTGACCCTGACTATCACAGCCTTCATTTTGTACACCATTATGCGTGATCATTATGTGTCTTTTAGGGCAACTTTAAAGCAGCACAGGCTGAAAAGACACTGTGTACTTTGTCATTGCAGCATAATTACCCTTATCATACTTTTCAGAAGAGCTTAAGTTAAATGTGACCTCTGTGAAATGCTTTAAGGTTACACTATGCTTCTCCTGCTCATTCAATGGGGATTACAATAGAGGTATATGAAAGACAGTCGTAAATCCATTAACAAAGCAAACAATTAGATGAATTGCTTATCTTTTTTGATAGAATCCTCAAATGATTTCTTCACTCAAGCATGTTTACAGTACTATAAACTTATTCAGCCCTGAAAGACTAATTTACAAAATACCAAAACTGCAAAATTGATACTATAGTACCAAAAAAACTTAAATGATAAGCTCACCTTTCGTAACTTGTTACATGCTACACCCATATTCAAGATGTAACATGTAACATGTTACGATCAGACCCCGCTCACCCTAATCCCTGCTTTTGACAGGTAGTGGGGATTCTTCTCCCTCCTCGCTAGCTGTCACATTTTATAAAAATGACCGTGTGGGGCTCCACCCACACGGCCGCATCACTTGTTCACAGTCATCTGTGAATGAGATCTACATGTCCTGACAGCCTTAGCGACTGTCAGCTTGTAGTCCTCAAAAAATTACCATGGCACTGTGGAGCATTGTGGTAGTTCATTCATTCTTCCTATCAGTATATCTGCTTGCTTGTACATCCCATATGACAAGCAGATATTCTGACAGATCTGCAGGAGACCTGCATGGCACCAGCGATCTGCTGATCACTAGTGCAATAATTTACAAGCTCCTGCAGACAAAAATATTAAATGCAAGAAAACATGCATTTAATATTTTTTTTTTCTAAAAGGTGAACCTTTAAGTCACTTAAGGATTTTTCTGTTGATTGCTTATTTTCTGTAAAAGATATTATGTTAAATAAGTAATATACATATAAACCACTTGACTTTCAGGATCTGTTGATTTCCCACCTAGTATTAGGACAAGCAAAAATAGGACATTTCAGCACAAACTCACCATCAAAAAGATGTCATTGGATTTATTAAATAAATCAAAGAGCAGTAATCCTCCAAACAGATACAAGATACATCATTTTCATCTTCCTTAACAAGCTTAAATTGTATTGGTTGATTGTGGCTACTTACGCATCATCACTTGTTGACAGGTTTCTATTTTTATTGGTACATTTGGGTCTAATATGTAGTATACGCTGGGGGTAGAGGCTGTACCATATATACTGTGGAAGCTAAATATATGTTCTGATGGTAATAGGTGTTTATACACATTGGGTTAAATATATCTGCTGGTGGAAAAGTGTATATACTGTTAGGATGAATACATGTGTAAGTGGTAGGGGGGTGTGTATATACTGTACAGCTGAATATATGTTCTGGTGGAAGGAGTGTATATACTGCTGGACAGTACTGTCATTATGCCATAGCACAGCCCTGGCAATTTTGTTTCTGCAAGCAGAGAGCTTTTTGAGTGGAGAATCAAAGAATCAAAGCGTTAGATATGCAGCACACTTAAAGTGTTACTAAACCCAGGACCCTGCATTCACTATATCTGGTCTCCCACAGTACACAGAACATGGAAATGCAATTATTTTAGCAAATAAAAACCGCTAAATACCTTTTCTCATCAACAGTTAGAGTAGTCTTCTGACTTCTATCCGTGTCCAGCTGAGCACTGGCTACAGCTTGTACGAAGTTTTCGATCTCCTGTAGGACAGTGCTGGACAGTGCTGATTGGCCCTGTGATGATCACATGTACCCTCCAAAGAAAAAAAAAAATTCTCTAGCGATACACACCAAACGGAGCATGTGCAGAGTGACTCCAAACCTCTGTTCTATCAGGAGATATTTAGGGGACAATGGAAGAAGGGGAGTATCAGAGAAGACAGGATCAAACATCCTATTTACACAATGCGGATGATTAACCCCTTAGGTTCCACAGTGAGTATAACAAGCATGCTTTACTGCATATACAGACTGATTTTACTGTTGTGGGTTTAGTAACATTTTAAAGTATATGTAATTCTTTACTTTGTAAAAAAAAAACATTCACTTTTAAATAGAAATTAAAGGCAAAACGTTTGTGATATATATTATAAATATTTTTTTTTTCTTTTTTATAAGTGATCACATAATCTTTCTTTTCAAGTGCATAAGGGGCTTAGAGAGCTGGGGGAGGAGAGACAGCAGCACACTAATCTCCCCAGTGAAGTTCTGTGTAGGGGGGGGGGGGGCATAAGGCTGACCATTGGAGGACAGACAGGCTGTTCGGCAAGCACAATCAGAAAACTAACTACACTGGAATACATATGCTCTCATGTTTTGCATGGTCAGATTTAATAGGAGAGTACAGGGACTGGCAGGGACACCAGTGATTTCAATGAAAGAAGAAATACAAAGAGACCAGGATACTTTTTGATACAAGTACATGGTACAGCAGGCACATATCAGGAATGTACTGTATAATGTTGCAGTAACATATTCTTTAACCACTTCCCCTCCAGAGAATTTACCCCCCTTCCTGACCAGGCCATTTTTTGCGATACAGTGTTGCATTACTTTAACTGACAATTGCGCGGTCATGCAACGCTGCACCCAAATGAAATTTATGTCCTTTTTTCCCCACAAATAGAGCTTTCTTTCAGTGGTATTTGACACCTGTGCATATTTTGTTTTTTGTGCTATAAACAAAAAAAGACCTATGATTTTGAAACAATATTTTTGACTTTTTGCTATTAAACATATCCAGTAAAAAATGTTTACAAATATAATTTTGTCATAAATTTAGGCCAAAATGTATTCTGCTTCATGTCTTTGCTAAAAAAAATCCCAATACGTGTAAATTAATTGATTTACATGAAAGTTATAGCATCTACAAATGGCTGTATATATACTTAAATTTTAATTAGAATTTTATACTAGTAATGGCGACAATCAGCGACTTATAGCAGGACTGCAGCGGGCATTCTGACACGGGGGGGGGGGACTGACTAACTGCCACTGACATGCCCAGTGACACCAATACAGTGATCAGTGCTAATAAAAAGCACTGACACTGTACTAATGACACTGGGCTGCAGAAAAAAACAATATTTTTGACTTTTTGCTATAAAACATATCCAGTAAAAAAAATGTAGCTGAAAATGTGCTCTGCTACATGTCTTTGCTAAAAAAAATCCCAATATGTGTAAACTAATTGGTTTCCGTGAACGTTATAGCGTTTAGTTATAGCGTTTACAAATGGCGGTATAGATAAAGAATTTTTTTCTCTACTAGTAATGGCGGCAATCAGCGACTTATAGTAGGACTGCGGGACTGTGGCAGATATTCTGACACTGGGGGGGAACTGACTTGGTGTCACTGACATCCCCAGTGACACCAATACAGCAGTCAGTGCTAAGAAAAAGAACTGACACTGTACTAATGATACTGGGCAGGAAGGAGATAACATCTGGGGCGAGCAAAGGGTTAACTGTATGCTTTTGCTGTGTGTGTTTTACTAGAGAAACAGCAGCATGTTACTACTGGCAGGAGAGACCAGTGTTGTTTACACACAGGTCTCCCCTGTCAGTGATACTCAGCGATTGACGGGTGCCAGTGGGGAATCTCTGGCCGGGACCCAGTGATCGACATCTGTAGCCACCAATGGTGACGCAGGAAGGGTGGCGCGCGCCCCATACCCGGAAATGCAAGATCACGTATATATACATGATTTTGCACAGCCCTGCCACCCTTTAGCAGTAGTTCTTGTATAGGGTGGTCAGGAAGCAGTTAAGGCCACTTGAGAAATGTGTCCTGTTGTTACAAATGCATATCTTTGTAGTGTGAACGGAAGGTAGTCATGGGGCCCCTGGGAAATAGGGGATCATGTGGCCCCTGTGTCCTTGCCCAAACTCAAAAAAGCCTATGAAAAAGGTACCAGGGGCATCTCATGGGGCCCCCTACTGACCCCATGCCCTCGGGCAGTGCCTGAGTTTCCAAATGGTCAGTCCGCCCCTGGTAGTACTATACCTTGGGATAGCTGTTGGTGAGTTTGTAGTGGACAGACTCACAGAGGGTCCTTAAACTGGGGCCCTACAAGCAAGTGATGATTGTGGAGGTGAGGATTGATGTGTATGACTAAAAAGTATTTGAAACTCCAGTTGGTTAAAGAATAATGATCACTATATTACTGTATGACATAAAACGTAAGCAAAGCATTGCAGGTTATTGTGGCGTCCCCTTCATTTGGGCTGGTGCATTGTTAGATCTCTTGCAGTCTGTGTTTGAGAGTAGCTTTTGTGTACAATACAGTATCTCAGACAAAAGCAGTATTGTAGTCCTCCACAATAATAGTAATTAGTTCAGTACAGCTGTTAGCACTGCATAGATGCTGTGTGCATTCTTTTGCAACACAGTGTAGCACAATAAATGCTGAATGGCGTAGTTAGCTAATTAATTGTTTCTTTGGTTTTTGCATTCTGTAATCTCCCAGATGAGACATTCTGCATACAACTCAGTAAGACTGAAGCTTCTAGGAGACACTCCTATAACTGAGCCAGATAGGCGCTCACTCATTTTAATGTGCTATATTTCAGTTCTAGGAAAATTAAAAGTTAGTTGGATGCCCAGGAATTAGCATTCAGCTCAGGAGTTGGAAATTGTTGCCAACCTTGGAGTATAAATGTACTTTTTTTAAAATGTTATTTTTGTTTCTGGGACTTAAAGAAAAATGTTTGATTATTTTGTATATTTCTTAGCCAGGTAAAAATGAAATATTGCAATCGCATTATTCATGTTTTCCTCTTGCAGTCAGAAAGTAGCAAATGTGAGGTGACAGGCCACCTAAGCCCTTTCTGTTGCTATTCTGTTACTATCCATCCTGTATTGTTACCTAAATAGCAAGCTATCAGTTTATATACACAGCTGTAGTCACCTCTCACTTTTATCAGAGATGGGGCCTCTCAGGTTTTCTATTGGCGGAAGCAGTCATTAAGTGCAGTGCATTTCTTAATAGAAAACGCAGCATGCATGAAAACAAAGATCATATATAAATAGTAAAACATTATATAACATATTAGTTCATAAATTGCTAAACTAGTGATGTTTAGAAACATAAAAGTCAGTATTGTTTCTCCTTAATACTGAAATGTAAATCCCAGTTCTTGTGCTTTATTGTTGTCTCTGTGCATGAATTTTCTCTGTAATAAGATGGAGCTGTATGTCAAGATACAAGCTAGGGGCCCTGTCTTCTTTTGAAAGGCTTTCAGGGCCAGATTTCAAACTAGACTACCTAAACCGTGGTCCAGAATGCCATGGCTGCTGTTTGATCTGACAACCCTGCCTGTCGCTGTTATTTATAGGTTTGCAGTGTGCAGTCTGCCATGCAGTGTCAACAGTGCACAATGTGCCACTGGGGAGTGCTGGAGCACGTTTCCCAGGCCTGGCTTCACAACACAGATGGGGCCTCTGTGTAAGCCAGCTGCGTGTGCCTGCTGGGCTGGGGTCTGTAATTTTAATAATAAAAATAGGAATCTTATCAATTATATGATGTGGACATTCATATGTATTGTAAGTGAGAACATGTGAATATTAAATTGGATTTTATTTATAGCTTATTATACACTTTAAAAATAAACCAAAATAAATATTGACATATTGTATGTAAACTAAATAAATAAGTAAATGCCTTGCAATGCATTGGAAAAAAAAATAAATCAGCTACCAATCTTACGGCATTGATTGTGTTTATTTCTGTTGGTACAATACTGAATGTATCTGGGAATACTTCATGTGTCAGTGTGGTATTGATTGTGTGGCTCTCTGGACATGTTTTTAAAGTGTCAGTATGTAGTATAGTACTGAATGTGTCTCTCTGGACATGTTTTTGGTGTGTAAATAAAGCACATAATATGCCTTTGTGGACATAAACATGTTTCTGGTGTGTCAGTAAAGTATTTAATATGTACAGTATATGTGGAAATGGACATGTGTGGACATAGACATGTCTCTGGTGTGTCAGTAAAGTATTTAATATGTATATGTGGACATGGACATGTGTGGACATAGACATGTCTCTGGTGTGTCAGTAAAGTATTTAATATGTATATGTGGACATGGACATGTGTGGACATAGACATGTCTCTGGTGTGTCAGTAAAGTATTTAATATGCATATATGGACATAGACATGTCTCTCTTGTGTCAGTAAGGCACATGATATGCCTTTGTGGACATAGACATGTTTCTGGTGTGTCAGTAAAGTATTAAATATGTATATATGGACACGTGTGGACATAGACATGTCTCTCATGTGTCGGTAAAGTATTTAATATCTATATATGGACATGTGTGGACATAGACATGTCTCATGTGTCAGTGAGGCACATAATATGCCTTTGTGGACATAGACATGTTTCTGGTGTGTCAGTAAAGTATTTAATATGTCTCTGTGGACATAGACATGTCTCTGGTGTGTCAGTAAAGTATTTAATATGTATATGTTGACATGGATATGTGTGGACATAGACATGTCTCTGGTGTGTCAGTAAAGTATTTAATATGTATATGTGGACATAGACATGTCTCTCTTGTGTCAGTAAGGCACATGATATGCCTTTGTGGACATAGACATGTTTCTGGTGTGTCAGTAAAGTATTTAATATGTCTCTGTGGACATGTGTGGACATAGGCATGTTTCTGGTATGTCCACAAAGTATTTACCACTTCCCAACTGTGCTATAGCCAAAAGACAGCTGCATGGATGTCCTCCCAGAACCACACCCCCTATGCGCAATCAGTGATCACTGGTCCTTCGGACACAGCTGATCACGTGTCCAAGTAAAGGGCCAATCAGAGCTGTCTTTTACCATGTGTCCAGCTGTGTCCAATCACAGCTGATCACAGTGTAAATAGGAAATGCCGGTTATCGGCAGTCCTTTCCTCACGCTGACAGTTCGTGAGGAGAGCTGGTAAGCGGCATATCTCAGGGGGACATCTACACTGATCATGAGGGTACTGATCATCAGTGCCCGGTTGATCAGTGTAGCCCCATCAGTGCCCATCAGTGCCCATCTCTGCTGGTTTTTAGTGCCCATCTGTGCTGGCTTTCAGTGCCCACCAGTGCCCATCTGTGCTGGCTATAAGTGCCCATCTGTGCTGGCTATAAGTGCCCATCTGTGCCCCATCTGCCTATCAGTGCCCATCTGTGCCGCCTATCAGTGCCCATCTGTGCCGCATATCAGTGCAGCCTCCTCACCAGAGCCTATCAGTGCCCATCAGTGCAACATCATCAGCACACATCAGTGAAGGAGAAAATCACTTATTTACAAACCATATAACAGAAACTAAGAAACTTTTTTTTCAAAGTTTTTGGTCTTTTTTTTGTTTAACAAAAAATAAAAACCCCAGTGGTGATTAACCCTTCCCGACCTCCTTATAGCAAAAATACTGCTACAGGGGTGTGCAAAATCTCATATATATATGTGATTCTGCATTTCCGGTTGTCAATCACCGGCCCCTGGCTGGTGATTACCTGCCCGTGTCCGGTGATTACAGAGCATCTCCGACGGGGAGGAGGACTGTTATATTTACTAACAGTTCTCCTCCCTGTCAGCTCAGGTACACTGCTCTGGATGGCTGTGCACAGCACAGCCATCCAAAGCAGTGTGATTACAGTGAAGCACATAGACACCACCCCCTAGTAAAACACTCCCTGCACACAGTTAACCCTTTGATCGCCCCTCATGTTAACCGTTTCCTGCCCAGTGCCATTAGTACAGTGCCAGTGCTTTTTTTTTAGCACTGATCACTGTATTGGTGTCACTGGGGATGTTAGTGAGACCAAGTCAGTTCCCCCCAGTGTCAGAATGTCCGCTGCAGTCCCACTGTCCTGCTATAAGTCGCTGATTGCTGCCATTACTAGTAGAAAAAAAAATTCCTGTATCTATACCGCCATTTGTAAATGCTATAACTAACTTTCACGTAAACCAGTTAATTTAAATGTATTGGGATTTTTTTTAGCAAAGACATGTAGCAGAATACATTTTGGCCTAAATTTATGACTAAATTAGATTTTTTAAAAAATTTTTACTGGATATGTTTTATAGTAAAAAGTCACAAATATTGTTTTTATCTCAAAATAGTAATTTTTTTTTATTTCGCAAAAAATTAAAAACGCACAGGCGATCAAATACCACTGAAAGAAAGCTCAATTTGTGGGGGAAAAAAAGAATGTAAATTTAATTTTTTCTGCATGACCGCACAATTGTCAATGAAAGTAACGCAGTGCAAAAAATGGCCTGGTCAGGAAGGGGGGTAAATCCTCTGGAAGGCAAGTGGTTAAATACTGCCAAACAAAGCTCTATTTGTCTAAAAAAAGTTATACAAATTTAGTTTGGGTACAGTGTTGCATGACCGCACAATTGTCATTCAAAGTGCAATAGCGTTGAAAGCTGAAAATTTGCCTGTTCAGGAAGGGGGTAAAAGTACGAGCTATGCAAGTAGTTAATATGTCTCTCTTGGCATGGACATTTCTGGTGTATCTGTGTGAGTCTGATGGTGTTTCTGCACTATATTAGTATGTTGTGGATTGTGTCTTTGCCAACATGTTTCTGCTGTGTCATTACAGTACTGATTGTGTTTCTGTAGACTCTGAAGTTGATTCACTAAAACTAGGGAGTACAAAATCTGGTGCAGCTGGTAGTCAATCAGCTTCTAACTCCAGCTTGTTCAATTAAGCTTTGACAAAAAAAAGATGGAAGCTGATTGGTTTCTATGCAGAACTGCACCTGATTTTGCAGTTTTAGTAAGTCAACTCCACTGTGGAAATATTCCTTGTGCCTCTACAGAAATGTTTTTCGGTGTGTCAGTACGGTACTAAATGAGTCTCTATAAATGTGTTGCTGGTGTGTAAGTACATTAATGAGCATATTACTGTGGACATGTGTAGTGCACTCCCCAAGGAGCCATTGGTGCATTTGGTCATATTTCCCCTTAGAGCACACACAGCCATGCACATAGCATTTCATGCACTCTTCTAGTGGCTTCAAAGAACAGTCTAGGAGTTTATTTTGAGGTTTTTATTGAGAAGAATGAGCTTGGATAGGGATAGGGGGCATGGGATACCCCAAAAAACTGTAGAACTGAACAGTTGAGGACTCCTCACACCTGCACTGTAAAAAACAAGGAGTGTCCCACATGATCTCTATGCTGATGGTGACACACACTCCTTCCAGAGTTAAAAGCTACACACAGTCACTATTCTTCAGCACTGGCGTAATTTACTCCCATATCCACAGGATCATCAGTTGCCTCCTACGGGTAACCACCAGGCTCTCCCTAGTAAGGGAAATGTAGACTCACACCACCATAGGACAGCTAGACTCTTTCCCTCCAACTTCTTCCTGGATCTCTCCAGAGGACTTCTATGGACCCAACTTGATTCTGGATTAAACATGCGACTAGCCCCCCCCCCCAGCTGAGCCTACCTGGGACCTTGGTATTTTCCTGAAGACTTCCTCTAGAATCCTGTACCAGGGGCAGAGCTCCTGCACAAGGGGTCTCCTCCTGCAGGACTGGACGCAGGAACACTGCACCGTGCTGCTCAGGCCTCACACCGTTTATAGGCTCCCTCATCACCTACTGGGCACACCTCCCCAGTGACTGGTTGGAGTCCCATAAATATTCATGCTGCATGCCTTTTTCCTCCCATTATGGTTCTATAATTCTCCAGAAGACAGGAAAGCCACAGAGCAGCAGCCTATGCAACACCGAACAGTCCTAATTATTCAACCCCTGCTCCTGTGTTTACAGCCTACACTACACTAAAAAGGTACTACACATGTTTCTGGTGTGTTATTGTAGTACTCATTGTGTTCCATCCGATGTTTCAGGCTATATAAGTTGGTTGCTGCTTGTGTCTCTCCTGACATGTTTCTGGTTGTGTCTGAAAAAGTACTGGTTGTGTCTCCGTAGACATATTGATGTCAGAATGTTACTGATTGCACCTCTGTGAAGGTTTATGTTTGCCTCTGTACAGTGTGCAAGCTGTCTCTGTGGCCATAAATGGATATTTTTGTGTGTGTGTGTACTGCTTTACACTATTTACACTGCAAGACAGACTGCACACTGAGATCCTATAAACAGAAACAGATTCCTCTATCCACACAAGTGAGGGACATTGTATTCTGACAGCAGGACTCACCAGTTGGCTGCAGCCACTGATCAACAAAAGTTTTCCAGCATGTTCCTTTGACAGAAGTCAATTAAATAATAGATTTCTGTTGAGCAGACCGAACTGATCAAAATTCAGCTGTTACTGGGAATGAAGTAACAGTGGTATTCTAAACTGGTGGAGTGGATCTCAGGCCCTGCACGTCCCTCCTAATGCACCAACTACTAACGTTACAGTGTGTAGCGACATGAGACACCCCGTTTCAAAGACAATCTGTATTTTTACTGCACACAGTGTAGACTCATTTCTTAGTCGGGAACTGCCTTACCCTCCACCTGGTCCTGGGCATTGATGAGTGCACTCTGTATGAAAATGTGACCCTGCTCACACTGCCTTGCGTAGCCAAGAAACCCCATGGGCTTACAGCTTGGAGCAGTCAGCAAGAATGTGCCCGCTCTGTACCACCCACATGCATACACTGCAGAATAATGAAAAACTGGTTGAAAGCTGTACGAACATGGATTCTTCACAACTCCGCACAACAATGTGTCTGTGACTCAATCGAGCTAACACATGGTTGCATAGAATAGTTTCTATAAGACCCTATAACCACAGAGGCTCAGGCTGATAATCACTGCTTCAGTAAAATAGTTCACAACACAATTACTTATACATCATAAACAGTGTCCCCTCACTCAGATGAACAGTTTGAATGATCCAAAGTTCAAGAGCAAAGAACCACTTCATTGGATTTAGAGTGTTAGGATTCTGAATGCTATTACAACGAATGCCTATACTCTTCCATGGATTTTCATAAAACCATCGATGCATTAGGGACTGGCCAAATTTTTCTCTGAACTCGATTTCTCCAGAGGTTATTGGCAGATCTCTGTCACCAAGGTGAACTGGCTGAGAAAACAATAGGTTCTTACTCTCCACAATAACCCCTGTGAGGTGTGGAGGTTTGGCTCAATGTCTCTCCCAAATGAGAGGGTTCTCTCCTGTCTGTATCACATGTTCAATCCCATTACTACAACCTAGGTCATGGTCCCCTTGTAAGAACACCTCTGACTTCTTATGCAGTAGCCTTCTTCTTGCTGCTAACTAATCTGTGATTAGGGTCAGTGTCACCACTGCTGTTCTTGGTAGCAGGAAGAGTGCAAGTCTTGGTGTTATAGATTCTAACTACTAGTGCCATACCTCACTGGACAATTCAGGAAAAGAGCCAACATTCATAGGGAGTATGAGCTCCTAATTAGGAGGTATGACAACCTCTGTCTCAAAGGAAACCCTGAGGTGAGATGTTTTTGCCAGATGTCTACAAAGTCGGCATCAGGACCCTTCACCTTTGGTGCTTTTAGAATGTGCAGCAGTTGTCTGAAGTCCTTAACTGGGCCAAAGTGTGCAGCATGCCCCTTCAGTTTCTCATTCATCAGTCTCTATTACTATTCATGCCTAGTATTACCTGTGGCCATCCCACAAAGGTTTCGGCGACAGCGGACAGGAGTACCTCTTTGCAGAGTCCTTATTAGGAATCCAAGCATCCACCTAAGAGGAGGAAGAATTTTGCTCTGCACCCTTGAGGAAAGGAAAGGCCAATCCACAGTGACCAGACCTGTTTCTTCTTGACTGAGGATCCATGAGCTTTTGATATATACTGCTTATATACTGTATATCTGCCTTCTGGTGAGTGCACATTTCTGCTACTTCCTCACGGATCACCATTTTGGATTTCCATTTGTCACCTGGCACGTTTATATTGAACTGGACTTACAGTGGACAATTTTCAGATTTATCACTTAGCGCTGCACTTTTTATTTATATCATCCCAAAAAGGTGCTTATGATAACTACCTTTTGCTGAGGTCCTGTCCTACAGCTCCACTTTTTTACAATTTTAACAGAAAAAATATAGAAACATAGAAAAGTGACGGTAGAAAAAAGACCAAGTGATCCATCGAGTCTGCCTGGTGTTTTTTTTTTGGGGGGGGGGGGCAGGCTGT